TTGATCACTGAGATAATCCAACTGCAAATCACTTTCAAAGTATCCAATTTCACAATGCTAAAATTTGCCCGACATAGCTATCATTGTTGAAACCATCACGATGATAAGATAACACATAATATTACTGTTGCATATTACAAATGCCATCCAATTTATTTTTGCTCTTACTTTGAATTTATTCTATTATATCGTAGAAAGCACGAAATGAGATTCTCAGAAGTTTATTATCAATAGAAACAAATAAATTTAGTATCTATGCGCTGGGATTGAGTAATGTTGACTAAAAGGTTATTTGCAAATCCATTGAAGGACTGGATATAATATCAGTGAAAATAGAAGGGACGGACGTATGAGTGAATGGATAAATGTGTTGTTGCTTGAGCAAATTATAGAGCGGCAGTGATGAATTCAGATTAATTAAATGTGAAGGGATGTTCACAACAGAATGTTCGTCTCATCGTCTTTAAATTATTGCTAATTATTCGAGTATTTTCCTTTTGATGGCGGTGTTTATTATGATTTGTGTGTGTGTGTGTGCTTGTTATGCACATTATTACATTACATGTTATTGTTGTGATTATCCATTGTTATAATTATCATTGTTATTACTATTAAGACTGCGATTCATAATTCAAAAAACAACACATAATAATCCAAAGAAACCAACATTCAACAGATGTGCAATGGAGCAAAGCACGAGATCAAGATTATTGCGTAACAAACCTGCTAAATACATAAATCGTTTAGCCTTTCCTTTAATGTTGTTCACTCAAGATGCTGATCCTGATGCTTTCACTGTCCATTTTCCTAGAACATGCTTATCATGAAAATTGCACTGTAATTAGTAAACATGTAAACATGAAAAAAAATGTAAAATCGAAATTTATGAGCTGGCTGGGAAGTGGGAATCTCCTTCATTTCACAAGGGATATGCGGAAGGGACTTCCAGGAATGAATAGATCCAACGATACTGTATTAAGCAACAGACTACTGCAGGAGTGCACAATAGAGTACTGTAACAAAATGCTAGTAGTTTACTGTAGTATACAATAGACTACAGTAATGTATAATTGGCTAAATTACCACGATACATGACAAATTACTGCGGTGTGCGGCACATCCGAAATCCGGTGTTACTGTATGCTACAGTAAGTTATCAGTTGCGTACTGCAGTAGTTTGAGCTTAGTGGAGAAAATTTGACAGTTAGTAATGTTTGGAAATTGTGATATCAGATGAATTGGGTGACTTTGAAAGCCATTTATCACGATTGTTTGTTTTTGTTTCGTTCGTTCAATTTATTATTTGCTGAAGTGTGGTGATAATAATGATAAGAATAATATTTAAATTAATAATGGCATCGATCACATATACCGGTTCGATGAAGTGACCGACCGGTTTTGGTTCAATATTATTATTATTATTGCTGCCATTCATTATTATGTTATAATTATTCATTATCATTGTTATTTTCTTTCTTTTCACGATCATCCATCATTTCTGTTGTTGTCATCGATGTAATTGAATCGATTCTGCCTCATTTCATCGCCAAATGAATCTAATTTAAACAATTATCTGCATTTGCATCACATCAAAATAGAAGGAAAATTCGTTTCGTTCGATTGATTTCTGAAAAACGAAAACAGTTTAGGATTCTCGACTCTCATGATTCTAGTTTCATATGCGTGATGTAATCTTCTAATTTTTCGCCCTTCAGTAAAATTCCATTCATACGTTCTATAGTGAAACAGATTTTACTTGAATTCAACAATTTGTTTGTCGTTGTATTTCATTATCAAATCATTGCATTCCACTGTTTTATCATACCGTGCGATTTTTTGATTTCATTTATTTTCTTCGATTGGATGTTTCCCTTTCTGTTCATTTCTACAAGGATATTATTGTTGAAAAGAATAGTAGTCAATCCCGAAGTTCACCCGTGTTACATTTTCAGAAGAGTATCGGTTGGATTATAGTCGGTTTATATTTATAGTCAGTAAGAGTTTTAGTGAGCATCACCATTGCTCACGCCGAGCGTCATAACTCTCTTAAATTAACAATTGGCGACAATATTAAAAAGATTTCTGTTGTACTCAATCTCGGCTACAACATGGTGTACAACATTCCACCTAATTTTTATATTCGCAGTAGAGAGAATTTCAATTTCTTCTATATACATGCCAATTGTGATCACTGAGCATCACTACTGCTCACGCCGAGAGTCATAACTCTCTTAAGTTAACAATTGGCGACAAAATCTAAAACAGATTTCTGTTGTGCTCAATCTCGGCTACAACATGGTATATATCATGATTAAAGATTTTTCCTGTCGGGTGAGTACCAATTGAAAGTATCTGTTGCATTTTTGCCCTTAAAGCGAAATCGAAAATCTCGAGCATATGTCGATCACTGACAAATCTATCAGCTGCGTTTTGTTCTCCTGGATCTTCGCTACAAAATGATATATGATTTACCCGGATTTATTCCCGTTGAATAGGTAATAAATTCACATTTCTGAACATATATCAAATGAAAATCCCACTCCCGTCACTTGGCGAACTATCACTTCATTCGTACTTGGCGAACTGTCACTATCGCAATGCGGAGATTATCAGCAGGATTTTGAATACAATTGATAATTGAGTAGAATGAAGCAATGATACAATTGCTTCTATTTCCTCAAAGTTGCTGATTTATGTAATGGAAATATTAGATTTATCGTGATCGCGGACGTATCAGTTCGCTCTGATTGTAGCGTTTGACGGTGATCAGATCAGTTTCGCATTATGTGCACTGAAGAACTGACTGATTACGATTTTAGCACAACCCTTGGCGTAGACGGAACGGTCTCCGTGGTAGCTCAGAGGTAAACCCCAAACCGGTAANTTTTGCTCGAAACCGAGTGGTGTACCAATTTGATTAATGTTATGAGCCTGAGCAAGGCTATAATCCGGCTTTGACTTGTATTTATTACCTAATTATCTGATATTATACGTTTTAATATTTAAATTATTTTCTCACCGCCGTGCTATCAGCAATACTGCCAGAGAGCTGATAACATTGCGTTGCGCGTAGTTCAAGAGAGTTGTCAAGTTTTGACTGTGTCTAAACGAAAATTATGAGGAAATTCTGAACGATTCAATAGTTTTTACAAAATATTTGTGTTCGATCAAGCCATCTGAATTTTGAAATTTTTTTGAATCTTCTGGGGTTTTTGTTTCACATTCTGCAATTTTGGTCACCGTTGAATTCTATTCGGTCGTGTGTTATTGAGTCGCACACTTGTTGATATAAACGACGAACGTTTGCGAAGCTCATTGTCAGATAAAGAGTCGAAATGAACAATTAAGGCAATTTTAATTTCAGTTTCAACGAGTGTTTATGTGTCGGAGTGAGTGACAAAACAGCATGCATCATCGTTCACAGCCGACCGCAAACATTCAAGGCAAACTTCAACAGGTTTCTCATATTCCTACGCATATCACAATGCTTGATTCACATTTAATTTTGCTTCTTTGCAAGTTTGCAATGATCTGATAAGACGAACCAATCGTACTGAACTTCAGTAAGATGGATTTGATCAAATAATTGAATTCAGTTTGAAACTTGGTGACATTGGATCGGCAAATTAAATTCTCTTATCCATCATTTGATTTACCTCATTATGACGAACAGTTGATGGTTTGCGCTTCTGTGTGAACAGAAGTTGATCTGATGGATAATTGTCGTAATCCTGGGTGATATCCACTTGAGGATGATGAGTGGCTGAAGTCTCTGGAAGAGAATGTCTCGAAAAGTGATTCGTTACGAACGCAGATCATTGGGATGTTGGATAGTTTCGAGCAGCGATTGTCGAGACTCGATGAGACTGTTGTACGTTTACATCAACGAACAGCATGCTTACAGACGAAGCAGTCAAGTGGGTTGTTTGGCTCGAATATATTCGCAATCTGAGTTGATTTCCAAGCTGATTTCAAAGCTCATCGAAAATCGTTATCGCAAAATGTTTCCATCGTAAATTCAAACTTCAATTTTTTCAAATTTAAACGTTTAGACATAGCGAAAGCACTGAAAATGATCGATGCCATGCAGCAGTTCTACGGGAAAGCCGCGGAATTGGAGAATTCAATCCGAGAGGGGAATGTGACGTTGGATAGGGATAATTTCTTGAAGCGTATGGAACAGCTGGCTGAAGCAATCACATTTTTCTCATCGCAACCGACCTATCGTGATCAATTGGAGAGCATGGTTCGGGCTGGAATCAGTTTGCTTCTGAACTTAATGATTCAATAATTTGTTTTAGATTTCATTGTGGATTGTTTCTTGCTGAGCTCCACACTCTGGGATTATAGTGGTTGTGCTAATGATGAA